CTGTAGGATTTCAAAATGGAACTAAAATACAGTAAAATACAGTAAGGCAGTTTAGATATCAATTAGAGGTCTAATTCAAGTGACTTATTCTAAGAATTTGGTACGGTTAGCTCAGTCATTAATTTAATTATTCATCCAGCATTCACAGAGGACTTACTATGTACCAGGCACTGTGTAGGAAACAAGGCTAAAAAGATGAGTCACGACCTCACCATCTAATTTGGGAGACATACCATATATAAGTGAAAAGCAATGAGACAAATCCCAGATATACAATATTAGAAAAGCATTGAAGTGGCTCAGAGAAGGAAGATAGTTGGAATAGACTTTGAAGAATGATTTTGTGTGTTAGAAAAACAATGAAGGACATTCCACATGGAACAGTATGAGCTGAGCTAAGAAAAGGGGAGAATGTGTAATATTTTTGTAGTTTATAGTATAGAGTGACAATGTCACAGCCTAATATATTGTGAGGGGTCTTCAGTCCCCTGCTAAGTAGGTTCTTGGATCCACAGGTTTCTGGCTTTTGGTTTATAGCAAAGATCACTAAAGGTTTATACTTACTTTTCTTACAGGGATTTTGTGTTTTTAGTCCTCACCTTGAAGTGCTTTGTATATGGTGTGTTCATTTATTATTTTTTTTATTTTTGGTACCGGAGATTGAATCATTTTTAATGAGGTATTTTATTGTAATTTTTAATTTCAGTTATTTCTTTTTGGGGGGCGGCTTACCGGGGATCGAACTCGAGACCTTGCACGTGCAAGGCAGGCGGCAGAACCACTGAGCTAAATGCCCGGCCCTGATTTCAGTTATTTCTTAATTTAGTATTGCTTTAACATTTTTTCTCTTAAAAATATCTCCAAAATGTGCTCGCTTCAGCAGCACATACACTACAGATATCTTCAAAATATACAGAAATTGAGAGACAAATATTGTACACTAAACCAGGATTTAACATACAGATTTTGCTATTGACTTTTAGTTTCTATACTTTATTCTGTGTTCCATTCTGTTTTATTAAACCCTAGAAGTGTTAAGTGATGTCAAGGCTGAGTCACTCATATACCTGTAAAGTCCTGGATGTCCAAAGCCTTACCTGTTCCTATTTTCTGTTGGTGGCACCACAAGTTTCTCCTGTAGGACGAGCAAGGATTTGAACCAAGCAATGAGAGTCTAGAGTCTCTGCTTTTATCCACTGCATGATGATTCAAAGTCTAGGAGGTCTACCTCCATAGTCTTATCTTGCATGGGTTCCCTTCTACTCTTTCCACTATTTTTTTGAGAGCCATAAAGAGGCCTATTAGGCAGAATTGAAAGTACACACTCAAAGAAAACAGTGTGGGCTTTCAGAAAAGCACATTATAATCTGGAGCTGAGAATTTTTTTGCGGGGGGTGGAAACTTGTGGAATTTGTGAATTTATAGGAAATTTCATCTTAGTTTACGGGGGAGAGCAGTCTACTGGGGTTTTTTTGGTTTCTGTTTTGTTATTGTTGTTGTTTTTTGAGACAGGGTCTCGATATGTGGTTCAGACTGGCCTTTAACTCATTATATAGTCTAGGCTGGTCTTGAACTCGTGGAGATCCTCCCGCAGCATCCTGAGTGCTGGGATTACAGGTTCTACTGTTTTTTGTTTGTTTTGTTTTAGGATAGGAAATCTAAGATACTTTGCCTAACAACATTCTTTTTTTTTTTGGTATGGGGGATCGAACTCAGGACCTTGTGCTTGCAAGGCAGGCGCCCAAACCACTGAGCTAAATCCCCAGCCCCACCTAACAACATTCTTTGAAACCTTTGAATCTGTTTTTCTATTTTAAGGTCAGTTTTCTGCTTTTATCTCATGAACTAAACTAATTTTGGACTTAAAGTATCTTTAAGGAATTTTAGATGTGGTGTGTCTGGAAGAAAAGAACTATAAACAAGCCTAGGGTGTATAGACATGGATAACCTTGGGTAACTTTGATTGTGTCGTAAAGTTGCAGTCTTCTTATAAGAACAGATTTTAAATTAAGATTTTTCTTTGACTCCTTTTCTACTTATCTTTATTTTTTCGATTTACCACCCCCTCCCATCCCTTATTCTTTTTTTGCATAAATTATTTGATTGGTACATTTTAGGTATACAACATGTTTACATTTATCATTGGGTGCTTGCACCTGTACATGATATATCTTGGTTCTTAATTTTTCCCCAGTACCTGTGCACCCTTCACCCCCTCCACCCTTCCGTATTTACAAAGACTTTGTTTCCATTTTTTCCTTTTCTCATAATTTTTCCTTTCCCTTCTTACCTTTCCCCTTCCCCTCCCTCTTCCCCTACCCTTTTGGAACTTTTCTTCCTATTTCAAATTATCAATTATTCATTGTAATCCTTTTAATTCCTACTTGCACTTTCAGTTTCTCACACTAGAGAAACTATTCGGTATTTACACGTGTGTCCTATTTATTTCACTTAAGAGTATGTCCTCAATATGCATCCATTTAGCTATAAATGTCTCTAGTTTCTCATTCTTTATGGCTGAGTAGAACTCCATTTTATTAAAAAACCA